ATCGCCCTTTTGCTCTCTGGACCACAGATTACACGAGGTGGAGAAGGGAGAAAGAATCCTCTAGCATTTGCTCAGCAAACTAAGAACCCACAGAGCCGGGCTCAAGTCCCTGATCCAGTATTTGTGTAACTGTTTCCATTTCCTTTCCCCTTTGCATTTCAGACAAAAGAAGAACAAAGCCCACTCCTGAATAATGTAATAGGCTGATGCTTAGGATGCTTATGGCACTCAAGTGAAAGGCAGGAGACTCAAGTTCAGGTCCTTGACTGGAATCAGGCAGAGTACAAACATCAAATTCAGATTGCTTACTTCACAACACAACACATCAACATAAAACCATATCATAGAATCACAGAATCATTTGGGCTGGGAGAGACCTCGAAGATCATCTAGTTCCAACCCCCCTGTCATGGGCAGGGACACCTTCCCCTAGAGCAGGTTGCTCAAAGCCTCATCCAACCTGGCCTTGAACACCACCGGGGATGGGCCATCCACAACTTCTCTGGCAACCTGTTCCAGTGTTTCACCACCCTCATTGTAAAGAATTTCTTCCTTATTTCTAATCTAAATCTGCCCTCTTTCAGTATAAAGTCATTGCCCCTTGTCCTACCACTACATGCCCTTGTAAAAAGTCCCTCTCCAGCTTTCTTGTAGGCTCCCTTTAAGTACTGGAAGGCTGCTATTCACTGCTTTTGACTTGCACAACCACTGAAAACGACTTCAGCATAGCACCTACCATAACCAGTGAGGTTTTTGTTGGAGTTTTTGGTGGTGTTTTTTTTCTTCCTTCTAAAGAATTGTCATCTCTCAGTAGGTGTTTGAAACAGACCTCTTGTTCGTATTAGCATAGCATTAGCTGGGCACCCTGACACAGCCGCAGGAGTGTGCTGATGTGTTTTATAAACTATGTATGTGCTAGAATTAGCTTATTAAATAATTTCTGAAGAACTATGTACATATGCAAATAGTAATCCAGTTCTTGCAGCTATTTGCATTACTCTCTGGTACTCTGCAGACCTGGCAGCAGAGCACTAACCTTCCCATGTCTGGCAAAAACATCTGGAGAAACAGAGTGGGTGAAAATGAAAGAAAGCATCAGGTGTAAAGGGTAACTCTCTCCATAGTACTGCCTGTAAAAAAAAGAGATGAAAACTCACTAAAACAGAGCATTTTAATTCAATGAAGAAACGAAATTCCTGTCATGCTCTTGTCCACAAACAGCAAAATAAATTGTAGCTGCAAATGAAAGCATCCCAAGATGCTTTAGTAGTATCAAGTCACATCAGCTTCTGATGGCCACAGTGAGACTGAGATGTGACAATGCAGGAAAGTACAAGACATCAGAAGTCAACCTAACTGCATTTATCTTTAAATATTTGAGAAGAGTGATTTTCTGGCTACCAAGTGACATGGCTTATAAACAGAGATTAGGATCAGGTGTCAATCACTTATTTTATTATGAAACTTAGAGGGGAAAAAAAATCCACTGCAATTCTTTGAGAAGAAAAGGTTCTGAAATAAATTGCTCTTCCCAGTTATTACTCCAGCTGAGACAGGCTGGATTTCAGAACATACTGCCATCAACTGGTATGTCTATGGTCAAAGCCCTGTGCCCCACACTTCCCAAGGCAGCCGTCTTTCTGCGTGTGCTTTGTCTGTGAGAGAGCTGCTCCTCAACAGCAGCGTGATCTTCACTGAACCACTCACCTTGGAGAAGACTTGCCAGCTTTGGTAAGAGGATCACCTGAGAGCTGGAAAAACCCCATCAGAACTTCGATTGACAAACCTCATATTCTCTTGCATCTTTGAAAGCGGTTAATAGCCCAGCCCAGAAAAGCTTCCCGCTTGTCTGCTTCAGAGGACGAGCCAGCTTTGACTCTCTCACAAACAGGTTGGTTTGACATGAAAGTTTTAAACAGAGAAAGCTGAAATAAGCAAATACATAGCTTGAGAGCTTGGAGAAAGATCAAAAGGAACTTCTTTAAAGATCAATCTTTCTCTATCCAAAGTGTTACGAAGAGAACTAAGGGAGAGTTTTTCTTTAATAAGCTTTAGTAAGACAAGGTTTTCTGGAGATGGACTGTACCACCTGGCCTAGCAAAGTTCCTGCCATAACAAGTTCTATAAGTACATAGAGGCTAACAATGTAGTTCAATATTTACACAACTTTTTTGTTTCTAAGTTCAGGGCACAGACTATTAGAAAAGGTGAAATCTCTTCAGATGAACTTGGAAGATTTTCCACCAAACAGCTTAGTCTTTCCCCAGAAATGGAAGTGACAAACATACAGCAACGCTCACATCTAGCAGCCCAGCAGACGGCTGGCACGTAGCATGGTTGGCAACCCAGCGTAGGGGTGAGCGAGCAGATGCATGGGATCAATGGCAAAGTAAAGCAACCTACAAAGAGCAGCTCTTTTCACTGCTGACTACCTGCAGCCGGCGTGCTGCTGCTTGCTTGCCTTTTTTGGCTTTGTGGTTTTTTTTTTCTGTCTTTTCCAGATAATGCAGCTGCCTAGTGCTGATAACATTTATTTATGTGAGAAGGTAAACTCACTGATTTAGAAGCTACAGTTCTTGTGTGCAGGGAAATTTCCTATGAACAAAAGGTTAAGATGGCAGCCCACCTTCCTCCTTCTGCTTTACAGAAACTCGAAATAACAAGCATGCAGACAGCATGGGAGACTGTCTTTAGGGAAACCACAGCTAACCTTTCTGCCCAGAGCCTGTAGAGAAGCCTTAACACCAAACTCAGAAGCTTGTATTCTGCTTTGGAAAACAAAAGAACCAGAAAGTGAGACCACGAGGCATTTGAGAAAACACTAAGAAAAGATGACCATGTCAAAGGAGAGTGGGGATGCTCATTCACCAGCAATCTGGGCGCTGTTCAGAGGAGGGCAGAAAAAGTGACAGCTGAGAAAACGTTTCCAATGAAAAGAACTTTCAAAAAATAAAATAAAAATGTAGCTTTGGCTCAGCAACCTCTAGATTTTGGCTAAACTCCAGCATTTACAATAAAGTGTTTATACAACCAAGGAGAACACTCTCACAGTGATCTTGATTGCAGTGATCTAAAATATAATCAGTACAGAACAATTTTTTTTTCAATAAGGTAACAATGCATCAGCTTGTTCTCATTGCCACTTTCACTTGTGTTTGAAAACACCCCTTTCTCTTTCAGCTGTCTTACATGCTTCTTAAATACTACATCATATCTTTTTCCAAGTTCTCACTTAGCAAAGCCGAATAAGCGTGGGCAAACAGCCTATGGCACACGGGAGTTGTAAGAAAATTTTCCAGCTCATGTTCTTCACTCTCCCTCCCATATTTTCCCCTCCCAGCAGCCCTTCTGAAGTGCTCCTTTACTTTCATCATGTTCTAACGGGGCATCTTGCTTCTTTCCCCAGGCACCAGGTAGCTGTGCATGTGAAATAATAGAATATTCTGAGACCAGTGCTCTACAGTGTGTACTGCTAGAGTCATATCAAAAGGAAAAAAATCTCCTATTCCTCAAACTAATGTAGCCCTTCTTCAGTACCAGGCTTGAAAGCCTGTGACAATTACTGGGGTCAAACGAAGCCTCTTTTTCTATTGTCAGCATTGCAAGGCACAAACACATGGTTTTCATGTCCTTTATAGGAGGTTTCTTTCCCTTCACACACTGACTCCTCTTACCTTGTTGCTAGGGAAGCAAGTCCCATTCTGCTAATTCCAGCATGCCAGAACTGAGAGGACACACTAGATGCTTCATTAAAAACAGAGCCCAGGGAAAGAAGGGACTCAGTCCACCTGAACAGTATGCGAGTTCATGGCACATGGCAGCCAGAGCTATGCTCTTGCTCAAATTCTGATTGCCAGACTTGGAGTCCCGGTGTCCTCAAGTGTAGGGATGTTTCTCTGAAGCTCTCTCTTACACACACTACCCATCTGCAGTTTCAAATATCCGCAGCACGGTAGTGGAAAACCAACCCTGATCTCCGATGCCAACATATTGTGAGCTTTGGGCTATCAGACTTTACCAATTGTTGCTGTTAACATGCATCAGTTATGTTATCCATCCTTCTGCTATTTTCTCTTTGGCCTACTGCCTTGCAAAAGTAAGCACATGGGGGAAGGGGAGGGCACAGTCAAGATACACCCCAACACTCAGAGCCATATTCTTAATAATAATGAACGCGTTAAGCTCACAGAAAGGCATGTTTCAATGCCTGATTTTTAATAGCCCTTGGTAGAGGGAGGCCTGTGGCATAATACCTTCCTCTTGCCAAACAATCACATTTTAGAATAGTGATGACACTGTGTTATTCAGTTCTTCTCTTTAAAAAAAACACACGAAATTGAATGTCACCATGGGAACAGTCTAAAGTTGATTTTGGAAAGAGGCTCATTTCCTATAGCTTTTCTCTTGGCATAAAAATAATGTCACTGAACTGTATCAGAAGCAAGTGCTTTATGAAGTTATCATCTCTAAAGATACCAGTCCATTTTGAAAATATCCTCCCTAATGGTTGCATTTCTTTAGTTTCTGAAGCAGAATAAAGGGGCCAGAAAGGCTCCTTCCCCATTTTCCTCGACAAGAAACACAGCCCAAGCTACCACCAGCGTGATCTAATTCGAGCATTCTTCAGCCTGTAATGTATAGTAAGTGTCAGTTATGGAAAAATTCCTTCTTAGAAGAACAATTAAAACTTAAAGCAGTCATCCTGGTTGGCTGGCTGAACAAACGACACATGTTCACACAAGAATAATTCAGTCAACCGTCTTAATAAGGATTTACTTTAAACAGAACCTTGTATGGGTACACTAGATTCAGTCTCATTAAGGAGTAAGTTGGATTTTTATACAGCATGAACCATTGGCAATCTAAAACAGACCCACTGAAGAATGGAATGGAGAATCAAACACAATGTTTCAGACCCAAGCTCTATGTGCCTTTAATACTTTCTTTTTCCTTTTTTTTTTTTGAGAGAGAGTGCACACTACGACAGACATTTGCATTTATCATGTTTTTAACTTCTTTTCTAAGGATGAACTCTCTGAATCTGCATCTTCCAACTCCACTCTGTGTCTTTTCAGTCCTCCGAGAGATTGAGTGCTCTCACTGCCTGTAGGATGTAAGTCAGCAGTATCCTCTCTCGTGCTCACGTTGTAGCTGTTGGAGTCCATTTCAGACAGGCAGCAGTCTTTGTGCAAGGTCACGCCCATCTGTACAAGGTTGCCATTATCAGCATTTGAGTGCACCTGCAGTCCTTGCGTCACAGTCTCCTGCTCTCCAAAACTCTGTCCATTGTTGAAGCATGAAGGGCGAAGATGCAAGTGGCCATTATTGTGGTTAACGCAGGAGGTGTCAAGGCTCCTCTCCTCGCTGTCATCAGTCTGGTTTCTGGAGCAGTGACCCGACATGCTACAGATGGCAACAGTGGAGAATGGAGGGACCAGCGAGTGATGGCTTGACGCTGGTTGACAGTTCTGACTTTTTTTCTGTTCCACAAGTCCTGCAGTCTGAATGCAAGGTTCTTCAGTACAACTATTTAGCCCTTTGCAGTTAGCTTTTCCATTGAGCTTCTTCGTCTCAAAAGAATGTTCTATTCCTCCACTGCTAGTGTCTTCAGATGTGTTCTCTTGACCCTCCATCCGCCGCTGATTGTCACATTCATGAGCTTGACCATTACTAGAATTTTCTATCCAGCCACATTCTTTTAAAGTTTCTTTGTTGTGGCCTTCAGTAGAAAGAGCTGGAGACCCTTGAGGAACTACTAAACTCAAGTTCCTAGCATCTTCCTTATTTAGCGAGTGTGTTGTACTGTGCCTTCCACTAGTTCCTGGTTTCCCTTCGTCATTCTCCCCATCTCCTCTGGAGGACTCACCATCCTTGCCAGCTGAATATGATATGTAAGAATAATGAAGCCATTTGTAAGCTTTGTAAATCTTTCTCTCCACTGATTCACTATCTGAACAAGGAGAAGTCCTTTCTTTGAGAACTTCTTTGTTGGCTGAACTCCTTTCTGGTGAAGAAGCTGGCGAAGAAGATAGATCATCTACTTTGATCTGGGGGTAATCGTAGATATCCTCACCTATGTAGGGAGTCACATTCTCCATGTTAGTACTAGTCCTTTCCTCCTTTTGCACCTTCTGTCGGCGCCTCAGTGCATTGCGTTGCCTCATAGACGTGCGTCGTTCATTCAGTTCCTCTTCATCTTCTGTACTGCTGCTGCTGGAACTGCTGGATTCGTTCTCCTCGGGACTTGGGGACCGCGGCCGTGGGAAAAGGTCTGTATCTAGTTCTGCCTCACAGGTATTGTCATCAGAATCGGACTCATTGGAAAGGGCTAGGAGACGTTTATCCTGGTACTTTCTCAGTGCAGAGAGCCTCTGCTGACGGGAAGCCACATCTTCTCTGGCTGAGGGGGATTCAGTTGATCTTAAGGCCCTTAAGTTATAGGCAGTTCCATCAGACTCTTCAGCCACATGTGGTGGGGAGTGATGCAAAGAGGCGGACGACTCCGACTCACTGTAAGCGGAGCGTTCACTTACTCCTGCATGGAGCTGCAGGATTGTGCTCTCACTGAGGTCGCTATCTGAGTCGGAACTCCAGCCCTCGATCTCTCGGCGCACCAGGGAGTCAAAAAAGGCCATCATCCGTGGATCTTCCTGGACCGACTGGTTGGCATAATCATGGGACAAACCACTACCACTGTTCAACACAAGACTGATGTACTCTTCATGAGTGTAGAGGCAGCGTGAATCATCCTCAATTCTACCATCCAGATCCCCTGTGCAGTCAGGCTGTTTGTAAGGACTCCAGATCTGTAATAGAAAATAAAAAAAACCCCAAACATATGGCTTTGAATTCATAAGTTATTATAAGCATTTCAAATAGAACAATAGCGCAAATACTAAGAACCATTCCAAGTTGTAGATAGTTTTTATTAATTTTTACTCCTAAGACCCACACTTACAAGTATTTCAGAGATGCATTTTTTTCTCCTCCTTTAGAAATGTTTTTCCTGCATCTACTTCACCCATCTAGAACTTAAAAGTTCTCACGCTGCAGATTATCCATCATTTCAATATTTCAGTGTGTAATAATTTCTCTCAAATTGCAAGGCTCTATTTTTACATAATAGGGGATGCTTACTCACTAACAGTAAGAATAGTTTGTTGCCTACAATACAGTCTTAGCACTAATGAAGGCACTTGTTTCCCAGGAAACTGGAGATGCTTGTGCCAGTGATGTAGAGTAACATTTTATCCAGCTGCATAGCCAGTCATACCTCATCAGCAGGCAGGGAGTTGAATGCATGGGGGTGAAAAGCAGAGCTGCACTACTCCCTTTAGGGAACAGTTGTGAAGGAACAAAGAGATCCAACATCTTCTCAAGCAGTTTTAGTTAGTGAGGAAAGGTGAAGGAGAAGAGTTTTCCTGAAAGCTGCTTTTGAAGTGGAGAGAGGCAGTAACATTGCAAAGCTTAATGATTTCCCCAATAGCAACAGCCTTGACTGTGCTGTCCATCCAGCCTTCTCTCAGTTTTCCAGATGCGGAGAGGAAAACGTGGTGGTGGTGGGTGGGGAAAGCCCAACGAAGACACACCAGTATCCTTAAGAAACTGGTAATCCACAGCAAACATAGTTGGATCTCTTTACTTTTCTCAGTTTTACTCAGAAATTTGGGGACAATATGATTAAGGCACTCATTGGATAACTACCATCACTTTGTTCTAGATCGATGGTTAATGTGATGCACAACTGTAAGCAGAGCTAGTATGTAGCTTATCCACAATACCGCCGTAACATTCTGCTTACAAAATAGCTGATTTCAGTCATGCTTTGTTTTACCAAGCTAACTAGCTCAGGGAAAAAAATTCTATGCTGGCTGTCGATACCAGGTTGGCCTTTTGGGATAGGCTTTGGCAAAAACATCTAATTCTTTTCCCAAAAGAAATTAGTCAAGTTTTGTTCCAAGTAGACAAAACTGCTAACAAAAAGAGTGTTTTGCCTGTGTAAATGAGATAATCAACACTCATCTCATAGATGTGTAGTTAACACATGGAACATAATCTGATACTACCATGACAAGCACTATAAAAAAAGCCCACGAGAATGTCAGTAATTCTGTATTCACAGAGATTTTCAACAGTGTACAGTAAGACCTTACATCTCTAATATTGGAAGTAAACCAAAATAAATTATCTTGCAGCTACTTGTTCAGCACAGCCAAATTTAAGATGCACAGGTAACCTTTACTCTGGAATTCTCCCAAACTTGAATGCCTTTACTTTGGATCCTCTGTAATTTATGGGTATCAGAGCTTCCACATATGATCTGGTTACGTAGATAAAAGAGACACTATGCCAAAATTAAAGTGGGCTGCAGATATACCTTTCTCCTTATGGCAGTCATCAAGCTGCCTTTCAGAGCAAAGGCAAAGGAATTTTACATTATATTACGTTAGCATGTTCCTAGGAACATGTCTCAGTATCAAGGTGTATTTGCTATTTGTACTTAATTGCTATTTTTATTATTTGCAGTAATTAAGCAAATTATCTTATCTAGTACAGTTCATTAATATAATACTTGAAACAAGAATGAAGACAGTCTCCATTGCTTGATTCAAGCACTGCACTTATTGAACACATAGCTCAAGGGACAAGCATCAGGTTTGGATAATAGCAAAACCCAACCTAAGCCCACTACGTATAGGCTTCCATCAACCATACTTAACGTTTTTGAATTATTCAAAATAACAGAAAGAATCTCACTTCATCCTCTAATTTCCCATACTCCACTTCCTAAAGACAACATAGGAAAGAGTCTTCTCTCAGTGGATGCATGAGAGAGGCTGTTGATTTGGGGATACACCAAGTTTTTTGAATAGAAAAATAGAACCCTACTTCCTCAAAGGACTCTTCTCAGTTGCTGCCTTCTGAGTGATAATGATTTAACTAGCTAGCACACGTTCAGTACTTTCTCTCACAATTTTAGTTCTTTTCCCCTCTGCGTCCCACTACTGAGCATTTCAGCAAGCAGGTATCAGATGTTTTTGTATTTACGAAGCATATACCTGGACAAGGAGGCTGGCATGCCTCTTCCTCAAACAGTCGTAGCATTGTTAGACTTATCACTAGGTTTTATAAAACTTCTTTTTTTAAGCAAGAGAATTGGATAACTCTTAGATTCTGTATGAGTCAATATAAATGGATGAGAGGGAGTCTGCTCTGAAGTCCCTCTGGGAAAGGTCTGGTTTATAACAAAAAGTCATCAAAAAAGGTACATAAAGTGTGCACGGATTCCCACATCCTTGTTAGTGCTACCAGATCCTTCTGCTCACTCCACAAGCATCAGAGAAAATACAGCAATGTTAAATATTGAAAAGATAGCTACAAAGAGTCCATAGTGAGGCTTTTCCCCTTCCAAGGCAACAATTCCCATTTGTTCACAAAGAAGGAAAAAATAATAAAGAGAAGTCAAGGGAATTCAAGATGGATATCTGTTTGTACAGGATCAGATGTCTGTGGAGATTGCTACTCCTACTTTTTAGACATTTTGCTATGAGGAAGTGCGAGGGCCTGCCAGAGTCTCAGAAAGAAATCAGACTAAGAATCTGTCTTTGGCAGAAACCAAGAAGTCTTTAAATTGGAAGCAACTGGTCCAGTGCTCTCTGTGGCATCTGAAATGGGCTTCTTTATAAATGGAATGCCTTTGCCTTTTTCTTGTCCTCTGACTGATAACATGCCAAGGAAGAACGTGAGCAAATTGGAGAAAATAAGGTGGCAAATCATCCCACTGAAGCAACAATCTATCAAGAAGTTCTTTCTCTGTCAGAGGATTAAGGAGCTGAATATTACTCACTGATGCCCCAAGTACGGATACAAAAATAGGAACAATAACAGAAAAGGGGAGTACAAAACTGGTTCTCTACTTCAGCAGAGATGCTTCAGAGAGCATCTTTGAATTGCTTGTATCCATGATAGCAAACACCCACATTTTAAAACAAAAAAGTAGTTATGCCCATAGCGTGAGAATAATTAAAACCAGCTATATTAGATTATCTGATTAGGCAGAGGCAGCTAGCCACAACGACATTAATCTGTCACCATAGCAACATGGGCAAATAGACTTTGCTATCTTTGATATACTGATGATTTTTAAACAAATGGGACCTACAACAGTTGTGCTCAGTTACACAGTATTCCATTTCCAATACAAAACAGCATTTTTTTTGTGTGAAAATTCCTATGCATTTTCTCTATTTTATCTTTTTTGGAACTGTCTTTTAACTGCATAATTCTCCATGGCCCTCCTCTAAGCCCAACACATCAGAAGGAATGCCTCATTTATTTCTCCTGCAATGCAATTCATCTTCCTGCTAGCACATCCCAATGTCTCACACACTTAACTGAGAGGAAAGTGGTATTTTTTTATTTTGTATTGCTTTAGCTTTTGTGACAAATGCTTGCTGCAAATGGTAACTTTAGTTCACAGCTGTGCTTTTCCATACAATTTTACTGAGGTTCAGGTTTCTGATTTGAAGGGCAATGAGCAATTCACTTGGGTTGATGTGCCCAGCACATACACTGTCTGGAGTCAAGGCTTCTAGTATCCTTCATTAACGAGCTTGTTGAGTCTTATTTTAGGTCTCAGAAATCTCTTCACTTGAATATTCACATCCCTTCCCCATCTTATCCATTGTATTCTCAGATCTAGCAGAAATCAAACTCTAAATCACTGAGTTACTGAATTATATTCTTTCACATGCTTTATAACAAAATAAAACTAAAGCAAAAAAACCATAACCACAAAGGTCAAAATCATTCCTGCGAATACTATTTATTTCAGCAGGGCTAGGCCTGAGATGAAATTGTATCTCATTTGCAATCAGCATTAAAATAGCAAGTGTGTTGGCAGAAGCACGTGAAATTATTGAATGGCTTGTCTGTATCGTGCCTTGATGCTGGTGCTATCAGTTCCTCACTTCTAGAAGTACTAAATTTAGGCCACCTAGTCTAAAAATTAAGGGCTTAGATAAACAACTACTTGCATCTACATTTTTAATTCATCACAGAGTTTCTGCAACAGAGGGAATGGAATACCAGCCAACCACAGTAAAGTTATCTTCTGTGATTTAATTCCCAGAAAGATTTTTAGAAGACACTTGAAGGACAGTAAAAGGAAGGACATTTCTTAAGGAACTGATTAAAACAAACAAACAAAAAAACAATAAAAAAGCATAGAAAAATCCTAACTACAATTATTATTTACGGCTATTCCTCTTGTCATCTCAACTTCTCCTAGCAAGCACATCGAGCATTTACACAAGGGAAAGAAAGATAGCCATGCAAGGGAAGCGCTTGTGTTCCCAGCTGTTTCTAATGCAGTGAAACCCTCAGAACTGCTGGTGATGCTTTTTCTGTTTTGTCCTTCTGCTAGTGGCAGTTACCAGCCTCCAGCCTATCTGCAGAAGTAGCTGAAATGAGGAAGAAACTGCCATTGTATGGTCACCCACAAACCACTGCTGACTAAGACAGTAGTACCTTTAAAGAGTGAAGTCATGCAGATCAGACTAGGCATGGGTCTTAAAACAACTTGATCCCCAAACAAGGCACATTACAAGCTGAGACAAAATGACATACAACAAAAGGGTAAGAAGTTCTGGCTTGTTAATAAACTTAATACATTAAACACCTTGCCCTTTATTTGTTTCTAGCTTGCAATGTTTGGGGAATTCAGTTCTTTCAAAGCAGCTACACGAGTTCCATTGCACATACTGCTACACAACAGGCGTTCTCTTCTGAGGAAGCACTCAAGCAGAGGTGTCTTGGAAGAGTTACACAACCTGTGACTAGGCCCTTAATCGAACTAACCTTTTAATCACCAGGCAAAAAAAAAAACCAACACCAAAACCCTAGCAGAAGTACACAAAAGCTGCACAGGGGATGTTTATACCAATGCTAATCCAACAGTCTAAGCACACTCATGCAGGAAGGATTCATAGGGTGAAGGGTCAGCAGATCCAAAATCCAAAAGGGAGGATTCAGGCTGTGTGAATCAAGTTCCCAAAGCAAAAAAAAATGCCTCTGGCAAAACTGTTATTAAACAGTGGCAGTTGAACCACTTGGAAATTGAAAAATCAATGAGCTGCTAAGACCATTCAATGCTCTTTTGTTCAAAGCCTGTATTTGACCGATTTGTGATCACACTCGTCAGAGGGACACAGATGAAGAAAAAAGTAGAAAAGCAAACTAAAGTACCAGCGGAAGATAGAAGAGAAGGAAAGCTGAACTACAATCAGAACCCAAATGCTGATAGTAGCTGTAATGCAAGTGATGCAGCTGGGCATTGGGCCACAGTCCCAGGGTTTTGGGCCAGATCTGGTCCGTAAGTTGCAGACCACTAAAGCATTCCTTTGCAGGACAAGTTAATTCAGTCAAGTTGTAGCTGACTAAAGCGTTTAACAATAATCAAATGATTTATAATCATTTATAGCCACATGCAGGTAAGGCTTTTATGAAGTCATTCAACAAATATTTAGAAGCAGCATCAGTTCTCATTATCCTACTTAAATTGTTCCAGTTTCTTTCATTCTTCTTAGGTTCTAGACCTAAATTATAGCAAAATTTCTACGGCAGCAGAATGCAAAGTGCTCTAGTGTAGCATAATCCTCTGCCTTCCCCTCCTCAACCTCTGCTATTAGAAATGAGAAAAAAGTTTCTGCCTTGCTCCCACACTATTGGTTGTCTCTCCTTAAGGAAAGAAAGTTTCAGAACCTAACAAAGTTTGTTATCTCTTTACATTCCACATAAAAAGGCACAAACTTTCTAAAAATACTATACATTGTTATAGGATTCAGAAAAGACATGCTGTGGAAGGTATTAAGAGTCCTGTTTCCTCTGGAAGCCCCAGAAAAGTACGTTGAATTGATTCAATGCAGAAGCATGTCTGAAAATTATAGAAGGGCTCCAGAGGCAGTATTTGGGCCAAATTCAGCTAGGTCAGGCTAGGCTAAGGCTCAATGATACTCTTTGGAGATGTTTTGATTAAATTTTAGCCCAAAGTATCAGAAGTCTTCGGAGATCATATGCTACAGCTGTGACCAAACTCTCCCAAAAAGGGCTCTTTGCATGATACTTCAGTTATGTACACAACGAAACTGAAAAAAAATTCCTTTTCCATGGTACAAATCCAGGAAATTCTGATCTTATCCCTTATCTCTATAACCTTTAAAGTTGAAATGTCCAATTAAAAATTTGCATCAGTTTAGCCAGAAAATGAGACATGCCACTTTACAAAAGAGTAAGATGACAAGACAGGATGAGTGCAGAAAAGAACAATGCTGAGCAAAACAAAGTATTTCTTCCCAAAATATTCAAAGAACATATTTTCTAATAATTAATCTTACCTTTATAATCTTTTCAACGCCAGAAGAACAGATCATGTAAGTGTGAGGATTAAACCGGACTTGGTTTACAATTGACCGATGACCTTTCAAGACCATAAAAGCACCATTGACGACCCTGCCAATGCCACCTAGGGGGAAAACAAGCGCACACTGAAATGAATAATTAAATCTCCATATTGCTTTCATTCATAATCAGTTAAAGTCGTCATATTTGACAATGTGCTTCAGCTTTATTTTGCAATATTTTAAGGCCTGTGTTGGCTGCAGAATTCCAACTCCATGAGCAATGTCCCTATGAAAAGCTGCAAGTTTGATGAAAAGCATCCTACTGCAAATTAGGACTTGTAGACTACTTTAGTTCACCTATCTAAACAAACAATAAGGGGTTTTGACCTAATATGACAAGTATGTGAACGAGAACACCATATATACTTAATGAAATCACCAGTGAAACCATAGTGCCTAAGGCATGACACTACTCACAGTTTGTAAATTTGAAGCAGACTATTTATCTGAGGTTGACTTTTCTAATAGCTATAGTTTTTTTTTTAAAAAATATTTTTTAAATCAGCAATTCTTTACTGTCACAGTGGACTCCAGTCTGACAGGTAGGAATCTAAAGCAGGTGATCTTCAAGGCTACTAACCTGAGTTACTACATTACAGCTGGACTTAGTATAGCCTTGCCTAGACTGAGATCTATAACAACTCATACGTCTGTGAATCAAGCTTAAAGAGGGACCTGAAATAACACAGTTGACCAGTGGGTTATACCATTCTTTGTCACAAGGCAGGGAAGTAGCTCAAGTGGAATGCTTTTGCGCTTATGGTAAAACTTGAAACAGAAGCCAGACAACTTTTCTGCTTGGCCATTGACTCTTACTAGGTTTATACACCGAAGCAAGAAACTGTCACACAATAAATTTTTTAAATTCATAGATTCACACAATTAAAACCATAATTTTTTTAGAAAGCACAGCTGTGTATATGAATAAACAAGTGTCAATCAACATGCTATGATTACATTTTCAGTGAAGGAAACAAAAAGAGGGGAAGTAAAAACTGAAAACCACTTCAGAGGAAAACAATCTTGCTATTTACAACTTCAAAGGTCGTAAGCACACCTTACAGAAAGTTAAAATAATTTCACTAGCTTCTGTGCTACTTATAGTCATCTTAACACTAAGCAAATCAACTTTATGTTCTTGCTGAAGGTGTTTGCTATCCTCCTTTGTCCTCAACAGGAGCTCTTTCAGCTGAAATAGCTGCTGGTTTAAGCCCTAACCCTGATGTTGAATAACTTGTCTTCTAAAATAGGAGAGTCAGAGTTCTCCTGCAATACACATTTCCAAAGAAAAACTTGTGTTAACACTGAGGAATAGCAAGATAGAAGGATCAAGGAAAAAAAAAAGGGGGGGGGAGG